GTCATACGGGAGAAAGACTAGACAATATTGAAAGAATAGGACACCCGACTATCTACACACCATCTAGACCTCAATCACCATATGGCGAAGATGCCTGAACTGAGTACGGACTTCCTAGGGATTACTACCGTCCCAACCACCGACCCCATCAAGAACCGGTAGGACGCGACGCACCTTGGAGGGACAAAGATACCCAACTCCTTAAGAGTATTAAGATAGACGCCCCGACATTTGACGGTACGCTAGAACCCCAAGTTTTCCTTGACTAGATTAAAGGAATGGACAATTACTTCAAATGGTATAACATTTCGGAAGAGAAGAAAGTTAGATTTGCTGAGATGAAGTTGACCAGTAGAGCCAACCAATACTGGACTAACGTAGAGCATATGTGGGAAACTAGAGGAGAATATCCCATAGCTGACTGGGGAGCGATGAAGCAAGAACTGAAAAGAAAATATCTCCCTTCCTCATATTACCCTAGACTCTTAAATCGTTGGAATAGGTTAACCCAAGGGAGTAAACCCATTAAGGAATATATCTCGACCTTTGATGATTTCTTGATTTGTTGTAACGGGGAAGAGACTACCACTGCTACACAACTTCTGTCAATGTTTCGAGCTGGATTGAGAGAAGACCTTCGAAACGAACTGTTTTCCAGAGGAGTGAATACCTATGAAGCTGCCTGTAGTCTGGTACTAGACTTGGAAGAGTCCAGGAGCCATGTCTCTAGGACCCAGGACTCTCGACCTAACCCATTTAGATCCTCTTCGAACCAACCTTATAACAAGCCTAGCGGACCCTCGAGTAGTCGACCACCCTCTAGCCAAACCCAGCCTCGCCTAGACTATAAAGGAAAAACACCTGAGCGAGAGACACCCAAAACCACTGCCGACACTAAGTGTTTTAGATGCCATGGGTACGAACACATTGCTTCTCAGTGCTCCAGCCCGTTTAAGGTCACAATTATTGAAGAAGTGACAGAAAAAGAGGATGAACCTGAAGCGGAATTAGTTCACCATATTGACGATGATGAGGATTTTTTTAATGAGGAGGATACTGCTGCGATCCACTGCCTCCAACAGATGAATTACTTGGATCTTCAAGTTGTTCGGTGTGCCTTCTCACA